TCGAATTCATAGGCCTCGTCCGGGTCATAGGTTGGCTCTTCATGCCAATCCTCACCTTCATAGCAGCCGGACTCCCAGTGGTCATAATCACCATCTTCACCATCATAGTCCTCTGCGACCGTATAGGCTCTGTTCTTCCACTGGGGGTTGTAGCTAAAGCGACGATTTCTTTCGGGGTTCCATCCACCACCTTTGAAATCTTGGCCCAGGATGAGGTACATGGCTTTGATCACCTCATTCTTCTCAAGGCTGGGAGCGCGCAGGGTGATCATTTGCCTTTGCTCTCTCGGCTAAGAGAGGCTCGGCGTAGAAGATGCCATCCTTGTACCTGCGAGGGCAACTCAACCTTGTGCTGCTGCAGCTTCCGGTACGCCTCCTCGTGATCTGTCACGAACAGCAACAGAGTTTGGCCAGGTGGCCTCTGAAGGAGGTTGAAGTAGTTCTCAAAGTCGGAGGGAAACTGCGCGCGGGAGTCATAGGCAAAATTGGCGTCCAGGGTGAATATCAGACGCGTGAATGCGTCTTCCTTCTCCAGCTCCTCGATGGACCACGCCTGAAACAAACGCCATGTCACGCCAGTGAACGATCCCACGATGTTCAACACACTCTCATTGCTCCTCTTCGAAATGGCCATCTTTCGATGGTACAAATGGATCCTCTGGCGCCATTCCTTGTACTCGGCCGGCTGGCCGGAAAACAGGGGCACGTAGCTGTCTCGAAGATCTGCATAGCTCGTGCTCTCCCTCGAACTCGAGGCAGGTGCAGCCTGGGTCTGTTTTGTGGGCTTGCCCATGATGGAAGCGATAGTGAGGTTAGGCTCGTCAAGGTCGTACTGGATGGCCTCAAAGCCGTGAAAGCAGGTACAATATATCGCTATATATACGTACATGTGTTGCTTTGTGTGCTCTGAAAGATCCTTTTTGGTAGTGATGCTGTATTCTGACAGTATGGCCCATGCTTGGAGGTTCCCTTTGTAAGCACAAACCTAATACAATCGCATGGAGTGCCCCCCCAACCATCATCCAAATGCAACCAATCATCATCCAAATCAACCCAATCATCATCCCAAACATCTATTTGGAGTCCTGCAGTAAGTTGCCCTTTCTACAACTCCCTCAAGCAAACGACATGTTCTATCCTTTTTCAAATTATGTGTCTACAAATGTATCTTTAGAACTGAGATAAACTGAGACTTTGGAGAGTAGACGTACAGCTTGTGCTTGGCTCCCGCAGTCAACGCAATCCGGATCTCCTTGGTCAACTGTCACACCGGCGCACGATCGGATCACAGTGGGCCTTGCCAGTAGCGCAGTTCGCACTTTCGGAAGACAACGGACAGGATCTCTTCCGCATCCTCAGGGGCCATTGAATATTGGACACTCTCAACGGACAGGGCTCTTCTGCTGCTGTTGTTACTGGGTCGGATGTGCCAATGGAAGCTGATCAACATGCCATCCTCAAGTCATTTGGCATTTTCATTTGACGTCATGTCTGCCTACCAAAAGGTCCCGGATACCATGCGAAAGCTTCTTTGCTTCGTTCAGCCAGGCATCTGGGGTGGCCAGGAAACGCACAAAATCCGAAAGGCTCATGAATTCCACCTGAATCAGGTGCGAAAAAA